CAATCTAGATTGCGACAAAGACTAAGTAACTCCTAAGTTAATAGTCACTCAAACTTAGTATGGAGCCTAAAAGGTATGAGTCGTCCACTTGTTTTTAATAAACAAAGGCTCTCAACCAATACTCTTGCTAGGTTAACAAATTACGAGTTAAAAGCCAACATTGGCAATAAAGGGAAACAACCGGCAACCGCCGTTTGTTATCCTACTTAATTCCTTGGCGACTAGGAAATACTATTTACTTGGTCAGACAAATTGAATAAATAGTTCGAATACCGATTGAATAAATGGCCGACTGATCTTCTACCCTGGAAACAGACCACCAGTCGTCCAGGGGCATAGGCGGCATACTATTTGTACCTGTCTTAACGTTCGGCCATACACAACAGTCGGTCTAGTGAACAAATTAAAAATACTTAGACAAATTTAAACCAAAACAAAAATTTGATTAAAAATAAGCCGGCCATTAAAGACCAGCAGAATATTCAAAACCCCGGCCCCCTGGCCGGGTAATTACAAAAGCAAACGGCACGCAGGCCGTGAGAAAAAAAAAAAAAAAAAAATATACTTAAAGCTTAAGAAGGGGGCAGTTCAGTATCAGCAGCTGCCGCCTGGTCAGCACTCTTCTTGCTGGACTCGGCCTTAGCTGCACCCTCTTTTGATGCCTTACCCCCAAGTGGCACAAGCGCCACAACCGGCTCTTCCTCCTCAAGCGCACCGTCCAACGCCTCTTCTTCAGCAGCCGCCAGGATCTGTTGATTATATGTTTCCGAACACTGGCGGTACGTTCTTTCCCATGAGGCAAAGTCGGCACTGGGGAACAGTCGTTCCCAGGTCATGCGCTGGATTTGAGCGGAGTCTTCCACCATCTCCCGGACGAGCTCTTGTTTCTCTTGCTCGGCCTTATCCGAGAGCTCTTGGGTAAGACTCTTCTCTTGGTTCACCAGGCGTTCTTTTACGTTGGCCAAAGATTTCTCCATGGCTTCGTAAGAGTGCATTTTTTGGCGAAGAGGTTTCAGCTCGGCCTTAAGGTTGGTGACGGTCCCCTCCAGCTCGTCAACCTTCTTTTGGGCCGCCTCTAATTGAGCCCGAACAGCGGCGGTAGCCTGCGCCTGATAATAAAGAAGATCAATGGTCAGTACTTCATTTTGGGCAATTTGAAACATTGCCTTATCACAGCTGGAGGCGGCCATAGCCTTTGCGGCCTTTACCTCTTTGTTTTTCCAATCAATCGGCTTGCGAAGGCTGTTGACTCGGAGCAGGGCCTAAGTACAAAGAAAAACAGGCGTCAGTTTCCAAACAGAAAAGTTAACAGGCGTCCTGGAACTCAAAAGCTCAAAAAAATGCTAAGTATACCTCAGCAAGGACCCCTGAAATCCCATCAAGGTCAAGGGTGTCGGCACCCCTGACCGCCTCCCTGTCAGATGGAGGAACTACTTTAACCATGGACTTGGCTACCTCAACCAAGTCAAGCCCTTGGGGGCCGGCTGCATTAAGTGAAAGGAAAAAACAAGTTAGACCTAGTCAAGAAGGAAGCAAGGGTGAGTTTTTACAAGTGAGTGTCCATACATCTAGGCGGCCCCGCCTGGGTTTTTGAAGAAGTCGCCGGCTGCTTCTCAGCCGCCACTGTTTTCCTGGAAGACCCAGGAGAGCTTGCAACAGTCGTCCTCCGGGCCTTGGGGTCCGGCTGTTGCGAGGAAGAAGCCCTTGGAGTGCCAGACTGAAAACAAAAAGAGTTAGTATATGCATAAGACAACTAAAAGAGGAAGAGTTTTCGAAGCTTACCAAGGGTGCCTCCTTGTTGGGGGAGTCGGCATACGACTGCTTCATGAGCGAGGCCCGCAACATGGCCGCCGCAGTCTTGGATGTTGTTATTTTACTCATGGCGTCAGCTGCAAGAAATAAACAACAAAGTTAGTAAAAATCCCAAGTAAACAAGGCGTGAAAAAACAGAGTATTTGTCAGGCCGGCTACCTCTAGAGCACCGACTGCCGAGGCCACAGGCGGCCAAAAAGTACTCGTCATAGAGCCACTTGAAGCTCGGGACGCAGTTTAGGGGTACTTGCTCTCGTACCCCTGAAGTAGAGTTCACCCTAGTCTCTACTTTGAAGAGTCCTTTGTCTAGGATCTCTTTTTTAGCCTTTGGGGGAACAGGCGGCATGCTGCGGCCGCCTGCGAGAAGAGGCGGATCCCTATTCCACTTGTTAAAGCGTTTGTTCAGCTCCGTGTCTGAACCCTCGATAATTAGGAAGGTGTTCCGCCAATCTTTCCATTTGTTCGCCTTACCTCTCGTCATGAGGTAACCCCTATGGCTTGTTAATTGGTACCAGCCGGTACCCCCCGACTTAGGGGTCCGGCTGAGATAGTTCATGTGGGCGAAAGCCTCAAAGCTTGGCTCCACCCCGTACATTTCGCACCCGGCCACATAGCCGAGTACGTTTACCCAAGAGTTGGGGGCTAACTGCCATAACCCCAGATCATACCCATCTAAAATCCGCTGAACAGCCGGATGTAATGGGAAGCGCAGTCCAGCTTTGATGGCCGCCACATAGCAGCCAAAGCAGCCGTCACCATAGCTGGTACCAGCCGGCCAGACGACAGTGTCTTCTGGATCCGGCACGAACAGTAAAAATTCCGGGCCCATTTTGTGGTTAGCAATAAAGCTCGCCACGTTGTCTTGCATGGTTGCAATCCGGCCCCGGGGTACCCTGCAGTAGTAGGGGGCGTTTTCCTCTCTGTAAGAGGCGGACGGCTCCGCCCAATTGTCCCCTTTCTCAACTGCGTGAGAAAGTCTCGCCTCTTGTAGGCGGCTATGTTTTTCTTCTGAGTCAGGAGAACTATGGCCAGAAGAGCTGGACTCGGACTCGTCCTCTGACGAGTCCGAAGAGGACGACTCCTCCCCTCTCCTAGAGGGGCCCGCCTCCTCTCCCTTAGAAGGAGCAGGAGGAAAATTAGACATGTCAACGGTAAGATGGGAAGGGACCACCTTGGCCCCTCTCTCAGAACTGTCGGCTTGGCAGTCGCCTCGTTTCAATTCTACATCTGGCGCCTGGTCAGATGTTTCACTAAGGAGTACCCTTTGGGAGGAGCCGTCTGAGTTTGATATCATAGCAGTCTGTTTCGTTCTGGCCATCACGTTCTGCATAGACACAGATACAGTCGGACTTTGTATAAAGGGCAAAGATGGGTCCAGAAAAGGGCAGGCGGCACTCCTAGTCCTAGATTCAGCCGTCCCCGGTGACCGGCTGATCACTAACTTAGGTCGTGTCGTGTGCTTCCATGGTGCCATTTCAAAAAATAAAAATAAAATTAAGGGTAAGAGAACTGAGTTACCTGAACGAGTGACGGTTGATGAAGTCCTGGAAGTCCGGTGCAGTCGGCTTGTCAGAACAGGCGGTAGGCAGAAAAAGTCCGAAATGTCAGAGCAAGTTCAGGGGTCCGAATGTTCTCGCAAAGTTCTCAAATGTGACAATGACTGAAGTCAGCACTTCCTTTTATAGGCAAAGTGAGAAGGCGAAGGGTCGCTTCCAAATTCAAAATTTGGGCGGGAAAATCTCTCGGCCGTTTGCAAGGTGACACCTGTAGCAGGCCGTCGCCTGTCACCGTGCGACACCTGTCACAGGCGACACGTGACCAGTCACGTGCCACCTGTGAGGGGCAAATGATTAGGGGATTTTTATCCACCAATCACCGTCTGACAAGTGGACCAACCAGGTTCCGCCACGTGTCCTTCACGAAGGCCAACAGGAGCCTGCCACGTGTCAATCACAGATACGTCCTCTACGGACCAATTAAGACACGCCACGTGTCCACCCATGCCAAATGGGAAAACCGGCCATCAAGGCCCAATCCAGTCTAGAGGCCCGATCAGCCCTAGGTTTACCTTAAACCTAGAGAGTGGCACGCTTCTCGAGGCTATAAATACTTAATTAATCCTCATTAGTTAGGTAATCGAAGAATCAAGTAATCAAGCAGAGAAGAGCAGAGTTATTACGGAACATCAACAACCGGCTAATCTCGCTAACGACGCAGATTACCAACACTAAGCACTCTCACCTAGAGAGATCTCATTACTTTAATTTCTGTATTAATTACTCCTTAATCAGGTACTAACTTGACCGTTGGAGGCGGAGCTCTCAGGAGTCTCCGTTATTTTGCAGGTACAGGCGTCCGGTTCCAGTCTCGGAATTGTAACTCTCCCGCAGGACATCAGAAAACCCCGAAACAGTACGAATAGTGGCCGGTTTAACTACCGAACTGAAAGTCTTATCACAATCCACACCAACCTCTTGCATTGTGACCTGCCATCACAAACAAGACGAGCTTTGTGCCTTTTAAGGTCACAATTAGACTTGTATTTGTGTTTAAACAACCACATACAATTAACAATATTCACCCCCATAGGCCTGGGTACCTAATCCCAAGTCCCTATTTTAATAAGAGCATCATATTCATCTTGCATTGCATCGCTGCATTCCAGTTATGATCATTAAGAGCATTTTTATATGTCATGGGGAGTGGTGATTTATGAGACGATATGGTCATGTGAGCATGGTGATATTTGGGATTGGGTTTGAAAATCCCGTGTTGACTACGCGTAACACGAGGAAAGGGAGGCGGGGGTGAGTGGGTTGAATGGGTGTTAAGCCACGTAGGGGAGAAGGCGTGTAGAGTGGTGAAGCAATGGGCTGCCCAGAACTAGGCCGAGAAGAATGCCCAGCCGTAGGAGAGCTAGGGAGCAGGCTGCCAGATTATGGGTGGGCCGCTGGTGAACCAGTGCCTGCTGGGCTGGTAGCAGACCTGGTGAGCCGGCCTGTATTGTTGGATAGGTTGTTCGGTTGAACTTGTTTTTGTGGGCTGGAATTATGGGTGTGTTGCTCCCACAAAGGTGAAAATAAGGGGCTTGGTTCCGGATTTAAGAAATCATAATCTGATGTCCGATACTTGGCCAAATTACAAAACGGAAAGGTAGATTCATCAAAAGTGACATGACGGGAAATAATAATTTTATTTGAAGATAGGTCTAGAAAAGTGTATCCGCGGTGGTTTGTGGGGTATCCCAAAAAGACATATGGAGCCGACCTAGGAGCTAAATTGTGCGGGGTTGTAGCTGATAAATTAGGAAAACAAAAACATCCAAATACTCGTAAATGGTCATATGAAGGAATTTTGCGAAATAAAGCAAGTGCGAGAGTGGTGTTTACAAGGGCTTTAGTAGGCAAAATGTTCAGAAGGTATGTTGCCGTCTCCATGGAGAGATGCCAGTAGGAAGGTGGGATCAAAGCATGAATTAGATATTCGTTCGGTTGCTTTCATCGCTTTGTTAGTCTTTGTGATGACAAAGTCAATCATCGCTTTTAGTCTCATCTAGACGGAGGCTCCCCATCTTTAATGTTTGGGGTGAGCAAAGTCCTCCAATCTCTTGCTCTCTTTGTTAGTAGAGTTGCAGGAAGAGAAACCACATTTGGGTGTACGGTTTCTCATGTCGGAGTCATAAGATAGGATGACTATTAGATTTGTTCCTGGACTCCTAGGAAGTAGCTATGCTTTCCGATCCCTAGGAGTGGAATGTTGTGAAGGTTTATTTCGTCAACAGGATGCTTTCATCTTTCGGTCGTGGCAACTCTCAACTTCTTCTATCAAGAACTTGCATTTGTGGGTTTGCAAGTTTCAGTTCCCTTCCCTAATTTCAACCCGCAACCATTGTCCATTTCAAGTTTCTCGACAAAGGTTGCAACTCTCGGGTCACGGTAAGGATATTGTAAGTTTTTCTTGGTTTTCCAGGCTCTGTTATAACATGTACGAAGCAAGGCATTGTTTGAGTTCTCAGTCACTTCAATTGTCCTCCAATGGTGGTCATTGCAAGCCGTGTTTATGGGATGGATTAAGCATCTTGCCTCAGCTACAGTTCATAAGTTTTTCCTTTCGTAGTTTATGTATGTGGTTTGATGTAGTTTTGTTTAGCTCTTATAGGTTGTAATTTCTGTCTTTCGTTATATGTACTCATTGTCAAAAAAAAAAAAAAATAAATAAATAAAAAATAAAAAAATAAAATAAACTTGCCAAAGCTAATCCAGGGTAAAACGCGTTTTTCAATTTCAAATCAGTAAAACAAAATTTTTAATAAAAAATAAAAAGAGTAAAGCACGTTTTTCAATATCAAATCAGTAAAACAAAAAATTTAAAGCACAAAATGTTTGATTACGTATATCTATGCACTTAGGTCAGAATTATAAAATCAATAAGCCATCATAATTAGTACAATCCTACAATTTTCTCCATTGCAACAAGTCAGTAACTTTACCTTTCATTCATAGCAGTCTACCAGAAGCCATATTTACATCTATCCTATTCTCTTCTTCCTCAGCGTTGGGAACTTGAAAGGAATAGGAAGAATAGCAACAGCCACTTTATTTCTTCTCGCAAATTTACAGCCCAAATTCTCGAAATAAGGTCTTGGACTTAAAGCAGACATCTTCAGATCCTTGGCAATATCAGTATAACCAGTCTGAAACTCATCAACCATTAAGGTGAGAACCAGCACATAGCTAATGAACGAGCCTATTTTGTCATCCGCGATCCTGTTTTTATCTGAATCGACAAACATTTTGTTACAGAATTCTTGGGAGATATTTTTTATTCTTGGAAGGTTGCTGCCGCCACCAGCAGAATACCGATTCTTGAAGTTTATGAGTAGAGAATATGACAAGATGCCAGCAAACCTTTTTGGTGCTTCATCCTGCAGCATCAAGAATAGAAAATAACATACATACTTCATACATATCTATGGGGAAAATAAAAGAGTATTCAGGTAAAATGTGTATTGGGATTTGAGATCAATGATATTAGCCAGAGTATTAGAAAAATGAGATCTAGACAGAACAGTTAGGCAGCGAGAATTAGGCATGAGATGCACAAAAAGCACTGAGTTACCAAAACACTAGCCACGATCAGACAGTATGACCGACACATACTATGCCAGAATTGCCATCTTATTGGTTATTATACTACAAACCCAAAGATGTATATACCCTTTTACTACATTTTCCACGACAGATTGACATATAGCCCAAGTTCACTATCATTTGCTCTTATGTCTTAAACAAAACAAACTCACTGAGAGCAACCAACTTATCCCCCCACCCCCCCAACCCCGCCCCTCCCCCCCCCCCCCCCCCCCCACCTAAATACACACACAAATATAAAGGCTGGCAGAATTAGCTCACCTACTTCCCTTTATTTTTCCTTATCTACCTTCTGCTATTGTTTTACTTTAAGCAAACAAAAGCACATGCCAATTTCAACTCCTTTCCAACACACAATTCTCTTGTAGCAAGATGTAGATGAAGCCTTGATTATCAATACTAGTTCCAAAAAGACCAAAACTTATAAATTAGTACGATGACAATATAATGTTTACATGGCATCTCAGGGGAAAAGATGTCAAACATCTAAGACAGCGTGAAAACAATCAACTTATCAGCCTAGCCTTCTCTGGTGCTGTAGCAGAGAGAACATGTGGGGTAACATTGTAGCGAGTGTCCAAACTGGAACTTGCAATTGCTGTCTTGTCTATAGGAGTTGCCTCATAAACACGGCTTACGGTTATCTCAGGCATGGCATCAGAATCTGCCTTTTGACTTAAGCGCATTGCTCCTTGTCCTGCAACAGAGACATCTAATTCCAAATCAAATCTGATCTAAATTATACATGGGTTCTGAACTTTATTATATACAGTCTAATACATTTGACCAACTGACCACTAATTTTGGAAACTTCTTACTCTCTTATCAGTAATCTGGATAGCTACATATTACTATATTACACTTGACAGTTATAAATCTTTGACTAATCCATAAGTAAATTTTCATTAGCAATTAGCATTTCATCACTTGATGAGTTAATAATTTGGTACATGCATACATCAAGATGCCCCATAACTTCATTAAACATGAATTGTGTTAAAACTTAATAGAACCTGTTCAAAGGTTTTATCATAACACAACGCAGAAAAACAAATGGCCGTTGATTTAGATATCTCATTATCAGTCAAGAAGCAACAGATCAAAGAAAAAAGGTTCTCTACATGGTATCACATCACATGCCTTTGGTTCCCAATTTCTGAATGCCAAAGATGAGTATCAAACCTTCTTTATAGCACCCTTGGTACCATAACAGTCAGTAAGTTTGTTCCTTTTGTGTCTTCTATCTTCAGCATCATCAATCTTGGCTGGAGCTTCTGGTTCCTTTTCAGATACACTGTGATGCTCTAGCTAATGGTTGTAACCTGAATATCTGACCATTGTCAACAACAAGGTCCATGTTAGGAATAGGAGTCGAGCTCATATAGGTGTCTACTTCAAAAACATGCGTGAAGATCATAATCTTAGAAACACACGAGTGGAGGGTTTAAAATCGCAGTAAATTATCCCAACAAAATGTCACTCTAAAGACGACAACCCAATGGAACATTATGCTATTCCTTTTTTATTCTGCATATCTATATAACAGGGAATGTCATGAATGAATTCTGAAACGCATAGCTATCCCAGTTGATGAAATTATGACACTAATAACGAAATAAATAAGCGTGAGAAATAAGAATCTTCAATTTCCCAAAGTTGTTCCGAAATGATCACACAATGACACAAGTACAAATCAGTTTCATTGTCATGGATATCAATCAAACAAAAACAAAATCCAACCAGCTGTAATCCCCTTCCTCAACTAACTAAACCAACAAAAAAAAAATCAACATTCCTTAGTTGAAATCAATTAGCATAATCAAATACCAAATGTCACAAATAAACTCATGTAAAATGTACTACCATTAAAAAGATAAACCCATGGATGCCAACTAGCTTAATCTACGATACATTACATATTTACATGGGATCAAATCACAAGAAATAAACTTGAAAAAGGTGAATGGAAATATACCCTATTAACAGTAATGGGAACCAATCTGAAAGACTGAGAAGTTTTCTCAAGAAAACCAAGAACATAACCATTCATACTACTAACAGCAGCAAACCTAGATAATCAACTTTAGACCCATTTGTTTCGCAACAAATTCAACTGTTCCAACCCTTTTCTGGTCCCTATAAAACCCTAGATTGCTTGATTCTGATTTTTTACAGTTTAATGGATCAAACCAGATGGGTAAGTACCCAAAATTGGATTAGGGCAGAAATGTCCATTTTCATTGTTCTTCCTAATATTAAAGTTTTATAAACAAAATCCTGCAACACGTTAGCAACCAAATTTAATTCAATTATCAAAATTAGGCTTTATAAATCGCATAAAAATTCTAATCAAAGTATGCAATGGAAAAATTCTAGCAACAATATCGCTCGTTTTATGAGTCTTGACTCTTGAGTAATTATAACGAAATAGTTCAATTGTACTGTACAACTTAGAAGAACACTAAACCGACTTTACCTCATAATCTGTTTCAATGGAGCGAGAAAGCTCAAAAGCCGCTTCAATAGAGAGTTAATAGTACGCTTCAATGGAGGAGACACAGGAGGAAGATTATTGACAAGCCCAGTCATCGAGCCCACAAGAGAGAGAAAACAGCTGATTTGGTTAGTGTGACTGTGTGAGGGTAAAGTGGGTCAAATTGGAAGGGGGAGTCGGGAGATGGACGGTTAGGAACTAGGATGTGTTAATCATTTTACAGTTTTACGATAAGAAATTACTACTACTCCGTATTATATTAAAAATGTTAGGGTGGTTAAAGTTTGCGATGCGTCATGGCCAACGCATACATGTATGGGCCAGGGAATGGGACTTCGGTCTGGCGGTTTGGTTTGACCTCGGTTTGAGTCGGTTTCGGTTTGGAGCGGTTCGGGTTGAAACGGTTTTATTTAGCTGATGGGTCGGTTCGGTTCGGTTTGCATTAGTCGCGAGTCGGTTCGGTTTCGGTTTATTTCTTTACGGTTTAAATTTGGTTTGGGTCATAAGCGGGTCGGTTTATAAACGGTTCGGATCATGTCGGTTCGGTTTGAAACGGGACAGTATCGGGGGCGGGTTTACCCGGGTCGATGTCGGCTCGGTTTACAAACGGTTCGGATCATGCCAGTTTGGTTTGAAACGGGTCATTTTAGGGGCGAGTTTATCCGGGTCAACGTCGGTTCGGTTTATAAACGGTACGGATCATGCTGGTTCGGTTTGAAATGGGTCGGTTTAGGGGCGGGTTTACCCAGGTCAATGTCGGTTCGGTTTATAAACGGTTTGAATCATGCCGGTTCGGTTTATAAACGTTTTGTGTCATGATCGAATCGGTTTGAAACGGGTCGGTTCATGGACGGTTTTACCCCGTCAATGTTAATTCGGTTTATAAGCGGTTTGGGTCATGATTGTCTTAAAGATCGCGTCATGACCCTGATTTAATGAGTTGATACTTAGAATACGATAAATCGATAATTAAGGAAGTACAAGTATTCAATTAGATCGATCAACACGTGTTTTAAACTTTTAAGTTTTAATAATCAGATATGTTTATCAATTATACATACATACCAATGAAAACAGTTCCCGATTTGAAAACAGGTTTAAACAGGTTGCGATTTGAAAACACTTCGATTTTAACGGTTTAACGGGTTATAGCGGTTTGGTTTAAACAGTTAGCGGATTACAACAGTTCGGTTTAAACAGTTTTTCCTGCGGTTTAAACAGTTTCGGTTCATAAACGGGTCGGTTTAAACGGTTAGCGGGTTACAAATGGTTCGGTTTAAACGGTTTTTTCTACGGTTTAAACGGTTTCGGTTTATAAACGGTTCGGGTCAATAACGGGTTTATAAACCATTCGGTTCGGTTCCCTTTCGTTTCGGTTTTGAGCAGTTCGGTTTGTTATCGGTTTACGGTCCGTAACGGGTTGATAATAAGCGGTTCGATTTGGTTTTGGTTTGACATTGTACGGTTCAGTTCGGTTTTCGGTTTAAAATTAGCGGTTTATAAACGCATCGGTCCGTGATGGTTCGGCTCGATAACGGGCGGTTTTCCGGTTCGGTTTGAAAAGTCCCACCCCAGTATGGCAAATTGGGAACTAATTCGACTTGGTTTCATTTCATAACTTAATAACTTGACTTGGTTATTGGACAGGTCGAGTCAGGGGTGTAGGTTATTTGCGGATCAGATCAAAGAGGGTTACATCTTATAAAGTCAATGGACAATTGTGGGTCGATGGCGGGCGGGCCAACAAACTAACTACAACTAATACTTTCTCCGTTTCTATGTAGTTGACACGTTTAATTTAGGCATACATATTAAGGAGAGGAGATAGAGTGAGAAAGAATGATAAAGCAAGTGGATAGCTAGTAAATGCAAATTAAAAAACTTACCCAAAAAAAAAACGTGTCAACTAAAAAAAAAACTTCCTAAAAAGGAATACGTGTCAACTAAAAATGACAGAGGTAAGTATTAAAATAACAACCGCTAATATCATCTTCCTCCCAAGATATATACATGTCACTATCTTATAAATTTTTTCCCGCCTAAATGTAATGATGACATCACTTTTTTTTTTTTTGAATAATCTAGTTTCACTTTCTTCCCGAAAAAAACTTAATTCTTAATACTCTTTCATATTCTCTTAATTGTTCGTTCCTAATTTTCATGTATCTTACTCTTCTAAAAAAAATAAAAATATTCTCTTAATTGTTGCTTTTTTTTTTGTTTATGTTCTTTTTTCTCTCTAATCTCTATTAATCAACCTCACTAATTTCGTGCGGGTTTGTTTGGCCAAGCTTTTGGAAAATAACTTCTGTTTCTTAAAAATAGTTTTCTAGAGAAACACAACACTTACCTGAAACAGAAGGGTTTGGTTTTAAAGAATTAAAATAGAAACTATTTTACCCTGTTTGGCCCAATAGAGAAGATGGATCCTTTTTTATATTTAGATTGGATATTGGAGGTCAATTTGCAAAATTTAAAGGGTGTTTTTGTCCAAAAAAAAGTACCATTAAATAGGTAGAGTAGCTTGGCTAATTGATCAGATTAGTAAATAAAAAAGACCCATAGCGACAATTTGGTAATAAAAAAAAAAAAAAAAAAAAAAAAAAAGAGCTAACTGTAGACTCTTGATTGTGTCTCCCCAAAAAAAACCAAACCCAGTGATGAGTAACTTTCACGTCTTTGATTATCGAGTAAGGTGAAATGTTGAAGAGTCTCGTGAATTTCACCTTTTCTAATCTCTAATCTAAATGTTTTAATTCATTTCGTATTTCCAAAATCGTTCATTTCGTGTCTTCTTTAAGATAACGTCCAAACTAGTTTATTTTGGTCCATAATCTGGGTCCAATAATTGTGTAGTTGGATGGGGCTTGAAAAGAGTTTTCCAACGATTATTATAAGAAGTCATGGCCAATATACTAAACTGTGCCCAAACCGAGCTTTATATGTGGACCCAATGATCATGTAGAGGGTCTATTAATCTTAATTATATTTCCAAAACCATTAGAAATTATCTTAAGCTTCTAGAATTATCTAGAAGGTTGTTTTGAGTCCTAAATCCATTAGGATTTATCCTCTTTTTGAAAAGATAATGATTAAGAATTTTATTTCGAATAAAACATGTGTTTTTTAATAGATTTAATTCTAATAAAACAAGGATAAGTACGGATATTCGACTAACCCAATTTGATTGAAAGTCGGATTCCGTACGGATCCTATCTTCTGAAAAACATCGCGCAGCAATGGATCCATCGCACAACGATGAAAATATCGTGCAGCGATATCCCCATTGCAACGCGATGAAACCTTTTATTCCGGATGGAATTCGGATCGTTCTCTGATCTTTTCAGTGGTTTTTTCTCTATAAATAGGGGACGATTTCCTCCGTTTTCATTCACCAACAATCATCATCTAATCCTCTCTATAAGCTATAATCTTCTCTCTCTTTCTTAGCCTTAGCCTAAACACATCACAAACACACACCATACGTCCTTTGCGAGACTCTAATACTCCAAGCCAAGCTCGAAGTTGCCTTCGACATCGACGTGAAATATTGATAATTCTAAGGGTTTGGTCCCAAATCTATTTTTCAATTCTTCTTTATATTATTGTTTGATTTAATCCTTCTTGAAGTTACTAACGTGTTTATTGTTTTGATAGAAAGAGATCGATGCATCAAAGTGAGTAATTTGATCTCCCTAATATTTATTCTTTTGATATAGAAATCATGCTTAGAATATTATTTTAATTCCTAGTATCATGTTAGGATGTCTTTATGATTTCTAGTATCATGTTAGGATGTCTTTAATATTTCTAATATCATATTGCTAGTATCATGTTTAGGATAAAACTTTGATTTTTATTTAGTGACATGCTTGGGTTTGTTATTAATCATCATGCCTAGGATCTTGCTAATATTATTATGCTTTAATGATAATATTTATTATATGTCGATGATGATTGTTGTGTCGATATTGCTTGTTATGTTGCTTGATTATTCTTGATATTATTGTTTTTGCTTGATCACGCCCCTTTCTGTAGGTTTAAAGGGAATTTGTACATGAAATCACGCTTAATAAGATAATTAATAAATTGTTTTTAGGCTAATATGTTTTTAATTCAAGTGATCGCCAACAATATATTTATTTGTGCATTAATAATCAACCAACATAGATTAAACAGATTTAGGGCTAACTTATTGATTGTATGTTGATCGAAAAGCACAAATGAATATGATAAGAATAAAGTAGAGGCCTATTTAAAGCGAGTTCAATCTCTTTTAGGTTGGATTCATACCATCATCCCCGAATATCTAGTCATGGTTCCGGACCACTATGGAGTTAGCGATCTCCGTGATCGTGAATGGGGTGTAACCTTCACACCTGTGGACGGTTTACAAGTTCCTAAAACTTGTTGGCGACTCTTTTGCTCTAGCTTCTTTCCCTTTGGACGCCACCATGCTAAAGTGCATGATCACAGTGGGGCTCAAAGTTGAGTATTGAAATATTCCCTACACTAACCATATGCGACAATTTGGTAAAAACAATAAACTCCGGTGACATTTAGACCAAAAAATCTAATTTTTTCTGACAAACTCTTTAAAAATCCTAATTTAATTTGTTTTTTTTGTTTTTAAATTTATTTCTCCCTTTTAAAATTTTGAATTAATAATGTCATCTCCTTTTTATTTTGCTAAATCCCAATACCAAATTTATTTCCAACCCCTTTTAAAAACATTTTGTAAATAGGGGGTATGAAACTTAAGTGAAAATTGATACTTAACAAATTTTTTTTCTTGAAGTTGTTATTTCCTAAAAAGGGTTGATAAAAAAACTGCACGAAAAACAAACTAAATTAAGTATTTGCGAGTAAATTGTCGGATATTTTTGTATCTTTTGGGTTAAATGTCGCCTGAAATAAATTTATTTATCAAATTGTCGCTTAGGGTTAACTTTTTTTTACCAAATTGTCGCCGGAGTTATTTTTTTACCAAATTGTCGCTAAGGGTCTTTTTTATTTACCAATCTGATCAATTGGCCAGAGTAGCTCCCCAAGAAATAGCTCCCCAAACACTTTGAAAAACTTGGCCAAACACTACCTTAGTATCATTGTTCCTCTTCAAAGTTAAGAAGTGCAAACGCTTCTTTTCTTTTTTCTTGATGAAAAAATTGACACCACTTCACTTTGTTTTCAAATTTTTCTCGTCAATTTAATAAATTTTATACTTGTTATATTGAATATTTGATTTTTAGATTTTTGTTTGTGAGATATTGTTGTATAATTTTGTGAACATAGGTTAAGATTTTCTTGGTTTAGGATCTTAATCTTTAATTTGAGGTGAGTGAACCAATATACGAATTGTGGATTTTTTTTTTTGAGCTTAGGTAAGTTTAAATTATGAAGAGCGGCTTTCTATCGTTCTGTGAAACCATGAAATGAGAGATATAAAATATTAAAATGAGTTTTCTGCCAAAAAAAAAAAAATGAAAGTGTTAACTCTTATAAAAAATATAGGCACATTTGGTTAGAGTAACACTTTAAGTAAACGCACAATAAATATAAGGTTTCACAAAAAAAATGTTTTTAAAATGTGGTTTGTGAAAACATTTTAATTTTTTTTTTTTAAATAGATATATTTTTTTCTTATTCCCTCCGTCCCATAATACATGATACGTTAGGCTTTTTTTTCACTATTCATGTATTAGGTTTGACTCTAATTTTTTACTAACATAATAAAAATATATTTTTTCATAAAATATATTGTTAGATAGGTTTTAATATAAAGTTTCATAATATAATTTTAAAAGTAATTTTCATTAATATTTAATTATATAAAAATAAAGTCAAATTAGTTCATTGGTATATGTGCAATGTTTGACTGTGTCATGTATTATGGGACAGAGGGAGTATTTTTTTTTTTTTTTAAAAAAGCTCATTTTATTTAAATATATATTAAAGAATTTGATTTATCAGGAGTTTTTGAGTCAAGTATCGAGCTGCTTGACTTGATTCGTAAATATTTCAAGTCGAGACCGAGGCAATGTCGAGTAGCTTATGAGTTGTGTCACGTCGTAAGCAACCCTAGACATGTACTTCGTATATAATAGTGAAAAGCTTCAATATTATAATTTGTTACCATACATAAATAAGTTGATCTTATTACATTTTTTATAGGAAATTTTGTTAACAACTACCAATTTAAGCCTCTGTTTTGAAAACAACTACCTTTAAATTTTATTTTTTTAAAAACAACTACCACAAACTTGTAAAAAGTTAGAGTAGCACTACCACTCTTAAATTTCCGACAAGCAAGAATCTCCGGTGAGTGGGTCCCACTTTCTACTTTTCCCTCCAATTTTTGTTTCTCTCTCCTCTCTACATATCTGCTAATGTTCGTTTTTCGATTGAACAAAATTTCCTAATTTTTTCCTCCAAATTTCTTCCTTTTTTCACCAATTGAGCAAGAGGAATAATTTCTGGAACATTACATCGAGTAATTTGAGAATTTTATATGCTAATTAGGGTTCTTAATGACTCGAAATTGGGAAAATTGGGAAAACTAGGGCTTCACAATTTTTTGCTTTTTGGGTAAATTGAATGAATTTATCGACATTAGGGTTTATTAATTGGTTGTTATCCATGTATTTGAAGGATTGTTGCGAATTGAATCATGTCCATTTCATCCTATGAGTTAGCTCGTCCTTTTCCTAGCAAGTGCTATTGTGGAATCCCCCCCAAAGTGGAGACTTCTTGGACCAGCACCAATCCTGGAAGAAGGTTTGTTGCCTGTAAGTTTTACGATGCCTATACTGGTAGGCGTGGATGCAAGTTTTTTGAATGGATTGATGTAGAGATTGTGGAATGGCAAAGGGTCATTACCAACCAGCTTGTGTTGGAGAAGAAGTTGATGAAGGCAGAAATTGCTAATTTGAAGGAAGAGGTTTGTTTGCTGTAAGATCAAAAACCAAGATTGGTTGAGCAAAATGAAAAATTCAGCAAGTAATTGAAGGGTTCATCCTTGGAATTGAAGAGAAGGGAAGGTAGTTGGATCTGGAATAAAGGTAATTAGGTAATTTCGTATGGTTAAATTGGAGGGAAAGGTAGAAAGTGGGACCCACTCACCGGAGATTCTTGCCGGAAATTTAAGAGTGGTAGTGCTACTCTAACTTTTTACAAGTTTGTGGTAGTTGTTTTAAAAAAAAAAAATTAAAAGGTAGTTGTTTTCAAAACAGAGGCTTAATTTAGTAGTTGTTGACAAAATTTCCTTTTTTATGTTAGATAAAAAAAATAAGTTCTAAACTTTACAATTAAATTTACAATTTAATTGATGAAAATCTTTAGTTATGTGATGAATTTTTTTTTTAAACACATGTTAATAAAATACACATCATTACAAATCTAATTAGACCTCATTTAATACTTGTTTCCTCTTATATTAGCGTACATATAAGGTCAAAGTTTAGTCAAATCATGCAATCAAATTCGAAAAACTAATTAAGCTTAGATGATATAAACAAAAATAAGTTGAACTAAACATAGCCTAAGTCATATTAAAATGAACCACATAGGCTCTTAAATTTTATAATACTTCCTCCATCCCTTAATTAGATTCCTATTTCCTTCATTTATTACTCACATAATAGTAAGAAGTAGGAATCTAATTAAGAGACGGAGGGAATATTAATAATATGTCTTTAATTAATGTATTTATTAAAAAAGAGGGAATTAAATGCCTATTGATTGATTAAATATGACAATAATTACAAATTGAAAAAAGTATGAAAACACCAATAATTAGCCTATCCATACATAATGCACCCTATGTTATTATTATTGTTACTATAAATAAATTTTGTGCTTATGTGTCACTTGAGGTTGTTAGAACTAATAATTACTCTCATTATTAATGACAATAATAAGTGTTTGTTAGTATCGTTAGACCGAATCTCATACTGGTACAATATTTATATCAACATGAGGTTAAAAGTACTAGCTAATACTTCTTGTTATTGTCATTCATATTAAAGTAATTATTTTCGTGGACTTTCTCGGTGTTAGTTTGGCCAACTGATAATGAGCCCATACAATCTATTATGTATAATAAACTACATTTTCGTGCTGAATTTTTTTCTAACCTAATCACTTCAAGATGCCAATCAAGCAATTGCTACATGTTCCATATTAGTTTTAAATACACAAATCCCATGAAAATTCTTATATACACTCGAATATAAAATGTACTCTTATATAGAGTATGTAGTACTAAGTATGTGCTATTCAAATTAATATAATATCCCGTACATTACACGAGTAAAAAAAAATAAAATTAAAAAACAGTTTTTAGCTGCACACGCATCACATTCATCATTCACGATTCTCTCTCTCCTTTAATCTAGTAGTAAGTTAGTAACTGAAACTCAGTCGTCTCTCTCTCTTTTGTGTCCAAGAAAACAAAATTAAAAATCAACAATAAATAAAAAACCCAACGTATACAATACAATTATTTTAGTTTCCTTCCCATAAAATAAAATTGAAAATCAACAAGCAAAAACACACAGAAAAATCAATCAAAATCCTCCCTGATATAACATCTATATGATTCCCCCAAATAATCCTTTCAGATCCATTTCGCTTTCTTACCATTTTTGTACGTTTCAATTCCATTACTTAAACCCCCCTTTTCACCTCCTTCTTCTTCACCAATAATTTCCCAGTTTTTGGAGAGAGAAATTAAGCAAATTCCAACTATGGCGAGTCAGCTTGTTGTGCAGGTTCGCAGAGACAAATTAGAGGCATGCATGACATGCCCTCTTTGCAAACAGCTACTCAGAGAAGCCACTACTATCTCTCTTTGCCTTCATACATGTAAGTTTTATGATATCAGTGTTGTTTTTGTTGTTTTTTATCCAATGTCTTTTGATTTTCTTATCTGGGGTTGTTTAATTGTTGGTTTTTATCAACTGGGTATTGTTTAATTTGGTTTAATTTGATTGTGGTTTCGAGTTTTCGGGTTTTTCGACGAATTGAGTTTAATCACATTGTGTTGTTGTGGATTTTATTATGAATTTCTTGAATTGTCTGATCTGGGGTTGTGATTTTTTTGGCTAATTTGGACGTAAAGTAGTGTGAATTGTTTACGTGAATGAAGTTGAATCTGTATTAATCATGCAAATTGTTGTTTTCGCGTGATTTATAATTGTTCATGTTGGTGACACGTAAGTGATCGATGACTGAATTTGTGTGTTCTTTACGATTGTTGGTTTTGTGGATATAGTCAATAGAGTTATGTATTTGGTCTACGCTGTAGTTTGAAATCGAGTTTTCGATTGATCGAATTTTTATCGTGTGTCTAAAGTATGTAATTTCTGTTGGATTGTATGGGCCATGCTCATGTAATTTCTGTTGGATTTTGGTAAATTTCATGTTTTGAGAGTTAATTGCTGCTGTATTTCTGAATTGATGATCAGCTGTTTGTGTCGTTTTGCTTGTTTGCAATTCATTGTTTTGCAATTTGTTGTGGGATTGATTTAATCATTTGTTGAATTGTAATCATGCTTTGAGTTTGTGGTGAGCTGATAAGTGATGACTGTGTATTGTTGATTTGAGATGGTAAAATTAACATCATTTTCGTGTTGGTTAGTTTACGTAAATGGACTATCGGTTGCATGGGTGTGAAAGCATGTTAATTTGTAAACAGACTGAAGGTCGATTTCTTATCAAGGTGAAAGCCTGTTAAGTTGTAGACAGATTGCAGTAGTTGACAATTGTGCAGTTTTAGATAAGCTTGTACTGCTTATCAAGTATATTTATTGCCTCTGCATTGCTGAGGATATCTTTAGCTATTTTACTGTTTGTACAGTGCATAATTCTATCTATTTCATAGTGTTTGACATCTTTCTTGCGTAGTTCTGCATGCAAACTTGTAAAATGGCTTGGTTGATTGGTCTCCCGCTTAAAATTTGTTTTGAAAACTTTTTTCACTTGGCAGTTGGCACATATGAGTACGATAACATCTCGCATTCCTGTTTGTTAGTGGTTTGATATAATTCTGAGATCATATCTTTGCTTGTACCATACTATGTTTATTACCGTGAGTGTACTTTAGTCTTTTCTGTAACCTATCTAGCTTTTGATTCTGAAAGAACTTGTGTCTACATTGGTGTATAACGTGCATGAGTTACTGAAAATGCTCCATCTTTTAGTAAAGGAGAGTGAAGTATAGTAATTTTTGTGTACTTAAATGAATGCGATGTATTTGATTAATCTGCTGAATCCTGATGCATCTTAAGTTTTGATATTTTCTCAGTTTGCAGGAAATGCATTTATGATAAGCTTTCAGATGAGGACGTTGACTGCTGTCCGGTGTGTGATGTTAACCTTGGAATCGTCCCAGAGGAAAAACTCAGGTCTACTGCATTTTCTCTCTTGCTCCCTTAGCTTGCCCTCATTCTATGGTATCTGAAGCCAGTCAAGTGAAATCTCATGGCTGTTTACTAACCCTGATTATATGGTTAGATGGAATCATTGACCGAATAACTTGTTATTTGCTTGAATGATCAAATGCCAAAGATAAACTCTACTGGATGCTACATTATATTCACTGTGCTGAAAAATAGTAGTGCTAGTGAACAACTCCTTGTGGGTTAGACTTGTCTACTTGCCTATTCATTAATCATTTAATCTTTGTTTCCCTAACTGACGTTACTTACCTGTTTTTACCAAAGGAGCTACAATTAAACTAGCAATATCTCTGCTTTTGCAGTGTTATTAATTTAGCTTCTTAGTACACATGGATGTGAATTCATTTAGCATACTCATGTTCACCTTTGGAATACATAGGCCTGACCACAATCTGCAAGATATCATCGCCAAGATTTTCCCTGCTAACGGAAGAAAGGTCGAGGAACCTGAAGTTGCCCCTCCAGTTTCCCCACCAGCTAAGAGAAAGGAAAGATCGTTGTCATCTTTAGTGGTGAGCACACCTAGAGTATCCATGCAGGCCGGTGTCACTGGTAGAAGGACTAGAGCTGGTGTAAGAAAAGGTTCTGCTCCGAGGGGTGCAAGTCCTGCCACCGAAGAAACTCCTAAAAAAGAGGAGGATTCCATGGAAGATTGTGTTGATGGATCAAGCTCACCTGAGACACTGAATAAAATCATACAAAATAAGAAACAGGTGAATATCATAGAATCATCTTCTGTTCAGGACAACAAGGATCGTGTTCCGTCTGCCCCATAAAAGTTGTGCTTAAAAAATTTTGAAGCTAGTCAGTAATGTGGGATGTAGGGAGCAAAGATAATATGCCAAATTCCTTAGTGGTACTTAGATTTGCCAGAGTTGTCAAATTTAGATCCTTGTATAGTTGTTAGTTTTGGCCAATATGTGGCCCTTAATAAAATTTTACTTGTTTATGCATGTGTCATATTGTCGAGTATCCATACGGGTACTTGAGGTAAAAATTACTATTAGAATAACATAGCTAATGCTTTTCAAGATTTTATAGTCTATGAACTGCATAATGGCTAATATGTTGGTTCTCCTGCCACCTGTAGAGCTCTTCTGCCAAATCTTCCAATGATCAGAATCGTGGTGAACACTTGGAGAATAGCAATGAAGGTCGGGAAGGAAAAGTTGATTTGTGGAAGCCCTTAAATACTCTTGTTGAGGCTGCAAATAGAAGCAAGTTTTCTAAGTCTAATTTGCAAGGGTCTTCTCATGTTAAAACAGACTCGTCTTGTTCTGGAGATGCTGATATAAGTATGAATAAGACCAGAAATGAGGAGAACGAACAGAGAGATGAAGGCCAGGATGAAAAGAATGCTGTGCCAACTGTCCCAGGGCCGGCAAAACGTAAGAGGCTGCGTCCATCCAATAGAAACCGGTCATCTGCACCTGCAGAACAAAGCAGTCCGCAGGTGGTTGTTAATGAGGTTCGTCGAAATTGGAAAGATGGTCCAATCTGGTTTACATTGGTTGCTTCTGAGGATCAGTAAGTTAACATCTGGCTTTAGCTGTTAGTAGTATTCTCACATTTATCTGAAGTTGATTTTTCTTATCTCCTTACTTGACTTTTATATTAAATGATTCAGGGAAGGAGGTGAACCCCTGCCACAAATTCCTGCAGCGTTTTTGAGAGTGAAGTGAGTTTATCATCTGTTTTATAGAATAATTTAAACTCTATATATTCTTTTTTCTTTAGTTAATATTCTTTTTTTTATTTGTTTCTCTTAATTGTGAAGCGTGTGTGTGTGTGTGTGTGTGTGTGTGTGTGTGTAGAATACTAATATGTGTGTGGAGGTTGGTGATCGTTGGTGCCTCATGCTGGTAATATACCCTTGTTTCAATGAATTATGAATGGGTGCAATCAATATTGATTTTTAGTTAATATTTATGATGTAATGCCATTTGTGACTTAAATGAATTTCATAATCAATAGAAAGTTCGATCTTCTGTTTGTTTTCAAAAACTTAAAAAGAAAGTCATTAATTAGGGTTTAAAGGAACCTTTTTATTATTACTCTATATAAATAAATTTGTTCAATTCAAGAAATGTAAGAATATATGAAGTTTAGGTAAAAATATCTTCCAGTCGGTTTTTTATACAAGGATCTTATTATTTAGTGTTGTGATCTGCAGATAATCAATAACTGATTACTGGTGTACTTATCCCTTCTATATTTTGTTTCTTGATCTGTCTACAGGGATGGAAACATGCCTATCTCTTCTATTCAGAAATACATCGTCAAAAAACTTGATCTTGCAAGTGAGGCAGAAGTGAGTTCTTAGTTAATCCATTTCATAGTTCATTGCCAGCAGAGAAATCCATTAACATGCCCTGTTATCATGTTTTATTCAGTGTCCATTTTTAACGTTACTTTTTTCTGAGAGGTGCTGTAGTCTGTAGCTCTTAAACTCTAATAAATAAATGACCGAACTGTGATACTCATAATATGTTTTTGTATATCTGAAAAAAGCATTCATGGAAGCTCCTTGAAGATGTTAGTAAAGACATACTATCACACTAGCACCAGTGCATACTTGAATAAATGCTGGCACATAGATGTCTAATATGTCTACACCGTATCTTGTTTCCTTTTTACCTTTGCCTGTATTATTTATACCCTTGGAGAGAGTGGCAAATAGGGTATAGGGATATTCTTTAGGTTGCAAGAAGTGCCTTTTTAGTCTGTACATGCAGTTCGGAGTAGTTTTGATGTACATGCAATTTTTTGAAAGGTATGTATGTGAAGAGTTCATGGATGTTCTCTGGTTTAGCTTGTAAGTTTTCTTTAATGTGTAATTTTTTTGTGTCCTTTTGTCCTGTCTTCCTGTTTCCAGTTTCTTCCCCATGTCAAGAACTCATGATGTGTTTTAGAAATGACCACTTTTAAACTTAGGGACGCAAACATGCAGCAATAGCAATTGCTACAAAAGTATTTCTTATAGAAGCAAGTTCCAGAGCTGTTGAGTTTTATATTACATTTCCAAGTTTCCCATCATTATTCAAATGAGATATCCTCTCTAGTCTCTAGTCTCTACCTTCCCTTTTCATCTTCTGTGCATGCTTATATTTTTGAGTAATCAATCATTGTAGGTCCAGATATTGCTCCAAGGACAACCAGTGCAGCCCGACTTGCTACTAAGCAGTCTTTTAGAAGCATGGCTTCATGCTTCACCAACCCAAAACAAGATACAGACTGTTGTCGGTGATTCTGCCAAGGAGTTCGTGATGGTCATCTCATATGCGCGGAAGGTTGAAGCACCAACTGCTTAGGGCTGCAGCAATAAAGGCTTTGGCCTTTACTCATTTATCATCTTCTTTAGTTTAATACAGTGTTTAGATCATTATTAGTCTGCAGGAACTACATTCTCAGAGTTTTATCTCCGAGATGAGGTTGTTAAGTATTCACATTTAATTTATTATAGAACTACAGATCGGTTGTTTGCGCATTGCAACCTGCCCATGTAAATGAGGTTGGACTTCAGGTTTTTTTTTTAGATGATATAGAAGATGATAAACCACAGGCAATCCTTCTTGTTGAATTTTTTCTTCTTATAATAGTCGTTAAAGTTGAATTGCTTTATATGCTGTATTCTGTCTTTTTCAAACATGACCAATATTAGTGAGGGTTGGTAATGGTAACGTTATTTGTACCATTCCCCTATATTCATGCAACAATGCAAGTCAAAGTCATGGACTTATCAATATTTTGCATAAATAGTACCTTGGCAGAATCTTGGAAGGTGGCTCGTGCACTCGAGTCGTGTCTATGATTTGGGATCAAAATTTTTATTTGCTGATACGCATTAATGTCTTTTCTAATTATAACTAAAAAATTTCTTTTAAAAAAGTCTCACCAAATATAGAAAAGAGTATATGAATTCAGCAAACAAAATTACATACCAAAGAAGAATGCCTAAAAAAAAAGGTAAGAAAAGGATAGAAAGTGTTTAGGAACCATTTTTCACGAGGAGAATTCTTAATGAACAAAGTATACTTATTCTCACATTTTTTATTTCATTTATAATTTCAAGTTATGTACTTTGTATGTGGCTTTTAATAATGTACACGATAGGTTCATCCTATTTTTTAAGTGTTCGGTATATTTGTCAATGTGAAACTAATACATTGAGATGATTTTAAGAAATACAAACTTGTCCAGTAAAAAATAAATAAATAAATAAAAGAAAAAAATACAAACATGACTAATTTTCTCTCTTTTTTTATTTTTTTATTTTTTATTTTAACAAAATGAGAAATTTACTCTTATGTTTAAAGCACAAACAATGGTCAAAATGGTAAATGCGTACAGTACAAAAGTCAATATGAGACACTTAAAAAAACGGAGGGATTAGTTGTCAATGAGCACTTGAGAAAATAAATAACTCCTCTATTTTATTTAGGAAAATTTGTAAATTACAGCCATTTGAAGTATGTATTTTGCAAATTGCAGCCACTTAAAAATAAAATTGCAAATTGCAGCCCAAAAGTGACTCGTTTATTTTTTCTTAGATATGCGTGTCATAAAATATCTAGTTAAGGTTTTAGGGGGTCTTATTAAATCTTAAGGAACCAAATAGAGCTCGGAATTGGTAAAAATTAACATAAGTGTCTCGTTTTGCGTATTAAAAATAACGTAAACAAAAAATGACCCCTAAAATGAGGCACTTTCGTTAATTTTTTGCCAATTCCGAGCTAAATTGAGGTTTTAAGGAATAAAATAACCCCTAGAAACCTTAACAGGTATTTTTCGGCCCGCAAATCGAGGAAAAATAGAATTGGGTGGCATTTAACAAGTTAGTAACACTTTTGGCTGCAATTTACAATTTTTTTTTAAATGGCTGCAATTTGCAAAAGAGAAGGTTTTGGGTGCGGCAAACCGCACCAAAGAATTCGTGCGGCAAGTATATATTATATGTAGGATATGTATTATTTGATAGAGGATATGTACAACTTGTTGGAGGATATGTGTTATTTGATAAAGAATACGTACAGTTTGTTGGAGGATATATTTTATTTGTTGGAGGATATGTACAGTTTGTTAGAGGATATGTAGTATTTGATAGAGGATATGTACCATTTATCTTCGATAGAGGATACATACAGTTTGTTAGAGAATAAGATGTAGTATTTGGTGGAGGACATGTACAGTTTGTTAGAGGATATGTAGTATTTAATAGAGGATATGTACAATTTATCTTTGATAGAGGATACGTACAGTTTGTTAAAGGATATGATGTATTATTTGGTGGAGGATATGTGTTATTTGATAGATGATATTTATAGTTTGTTAGAATATATGTATAGTTGGCTAATATGTTTATTTTGTTGGCTTACCTGTAACTTTTGTTTACTGATTTTATCATTTTGTTGGCTGATATGCTTCATTTGTTGGCTAATACGCTTCATTTGTTGGCTGATATGTTCAATCTGCTGGCTGATATCTATCTTTTGTTGACTGATATGTTTCATTTGTTGGTTGATATATTCCTTTTGTTGGCTGATATACATAAAAATAATTAAAAGGTCAATAATGGCAGAACCTCTATTGAAGGTCCCGTACTAAGCTCATGGGTATAACATAACTTGTTCATTTCTCAACCAAAATACATGCATTTGTTATCAAAACGCTCACAATTCAACATACAATCACATGGAACAATCAATTTCAACAATTAAACATCACACGAGAAAGCCCCAATTTGATTTTTTGGGTATATTTCGAAAAATCCGAGAATCTCTAGTAATTATCAAGCCAATTCAAGCATAAATCATGGACAAATATAATCAACAATCTTTATTTTCTCTCTCCTCTCCATCCTCTTCAATTCTATTAAACTTTCTCTCTTCCATCATGGATGACGACGTCTTTGATCCCTATGAGATTTTCGTCGTCGACGATACCACCGCCACCGCCAATAGCAATGTCGCTGATAATGATGTTTTTTCTGCCATGGGAGGTGTTAGTGAAAGAAGAGAAGAAAATAGTGTTTGAATGAAATGCAGGATATTGAGGAAGATAAGAAGTTTGGGGTAGTTATTAGGAACGCCATACGAATTATTTTTGTGTTTGCAAAATACCTACTCTAATGGTTGCAATTGGCAAATTTTCCTTTTTTTTTAATTTTTTTTAATTTTTGTATACTTGTACCTTGGCACGCTATTTGAAGAGAAACTACAAGTTTATAACCTTGATAAACAAGAATTGTTTATCAAAGAGTGTATATGTAAATTACATCTAACTTTGGTTAACTATTGTTTTCTCTCTCCTCTTTTAACCTTTTGGTATTTTCTGATTTTCTCTCTCTTCCTTCAACCTTTTATTGTCCTTCAACCTTTAATTTCAATGGTGGAAAGTTCATCTTTTCACTATATGACGTCGAACAAGTCGAAATCAATGGAGGGAGAAAAGCTTATCTACCCTTTAGGGTTAACCATGCTCGTTATTCTCATTTTGTTATTTGGGTTTTCGTTTAATTCCGGCGGTGAAGCAGCCGAAAATGTTGTTGCGAAGTCGAATTTAATGGAGGAAGGAAAGCTCAACTACCCTTTAGGGTTAACCATGCCATTAATTTCTCCTTTTGTAATTAGGATTTATTTTCGTTTAATTTCGCCGACGAAGCCGGCGGAAATGGAGTCGAACGGACTTGAAAGAGGAGGTGAAAGTGGGCAGAGATTGGAGGGAGAAGATTAAAGTGGGTGAGAAGAAAAAATATGAACAAGAGGAAGAAGATGAACATGAAGAAGAAGAAGGTGGGAGGAAGAAGATGATGAATAGTAGCAAACGAAGAGTTAACAATATTAACTTTGAAAATCTGTCCAATTTGTCATAGTGGCCCACAGATAGTAAAAATATATATTTTTAATCAAAAAACACAATTTTCAATGCAACTTATTTACGAAAATATCATTTGATAAACATAATTTGTTTATCTAGGTTATAAATTAGGGCTTGCTCCTATTTGAAGAAATAATAATAAAAGGTAAATTGATGGATTAAACTATACGGCCGTATAAAATTTTATCCATAAAATCTTACACTTTCTTTTACGGGTGGTAAATTTATTATACTCCCTCTATTTATTTTTAAACGCCTCACTTGAGTTTTCACACTTGTCAAGGCACAACTTTGAACATCAATGCCTTTACTCCCTCCGTTTCTTTTTGTTTGTCTCATTTTGACTATACATGGTCTTTAAGATGCATGCTCCTTTGGCCATTTAATTATACATTACTAAAATTATAAAATCTTGATATTACAAAACTATATTGAAACGCGAATCTAACAATATATTACATGACTATATTTTTTCATATTTATTAATGTAAATATTTGGTCAAAGTCTTAAATGTTTGATTATAAAAAGTCAAAATGGGACAAACAAAAAGTGACAGAGAAAGTAATTAGATATTAGTAAAAATTATAATAAAATTATATTATAAAAGTAAACATTGTAACAAATTCAAAATATATTTTTATTTATTTATTTATTTAATTTTTAATTTGTCATTTCTCACTTCATCACATCTCCATATAAAAGTCACAAGCAAATTTTGACTAGGATAAAACAAAGGTAGTAATAATTATTACCATTTAGGCCCCGTTCAATTCACCTTATTTTTTGTTGAATTGAAATTATTTTTACTGAATTGAAATTATTTTTACTAAATTGAAATTAATTTTACTGAAGTGAAATTATTTTTGCTGAAGTGAAATTATTTTTACGGATTATATTTCTTCTTTAAGTTTACTGATTTATACTGAACTGAAATTATTTTTATTGAACTGAAATTATTTTTGCTGAACTGAACTTATTTTTGTTGAAATGAAATTAATTTTATTAAATTGAAATTATTTTTACTGAATATTTTTTTTAAGGTGAAGTGAATAGGGATTTATTTACCAAAAAACAAAGGTAGTTATAAATAAGGAGTATTTTATTACAAAGAACTTAAAGAAATAAAACATTAAACTCTACTAATAAATTTAGTTCAATAAAAATAATAATTTTAATTCAATAAAATAAGGTAAAGTAAAAATGACTCATCTTATAAAAAAAAAAAATAGCTCACTAACATAACAAAAAACAGAGAAGTTGTTATATCATTAAATAAAGAGCAAAAACTAACCTTACATAGTTGGGTGGATGATACACCCGGATGTATATAACAAATTCTACGAAGAGGACAAACTAGTCTAATTTATTACTCGTATTTAGAAGTTAGTTGGAAAAAAAAGAAAAAAATCCCAGTGAAACTGTGGAGACTTGGAGTACCGTTCTACCAACATTCTTCCATTGCTATTTTTGCTAACAGGCAAAAACAAGAGCTTACGAAGAAGATGACGGCTGAGAATGTTCTGCAGCAAACCCTAATCTTAACTCTCCTACAACCCCAAAATTTTCAGGTAAAATCCCTTATTAGATTGTTGCTAAAATTTGTGTTATTTTATATTTATACTCTTGATTTTGCTTAATTTCACCTCCAATTTCATTCCTTTTTATCCGCGTTGTCCTACAATTCGATTGATAACCAATGTTATGTGATTTGACATTGAAATGGCCTATTTCAGGAAATTATAATTGATATTAGGTTACTGTATTTGGTTTGTTTTGCTTATGAATTTTGGGTGATTGTTCAGAAATCAGTGAATATTGTCAAATCAGTATCCCTGATTGATGATTATTAGATATACATGTTGCATGCCTTAGTTATGGTAGTGATGATCTTTAATTTGGATTTGATTGTTGAGAGTGGGGATATAGAAAGAGATTATGTTCATCAAGTGTGACATTAAATTTGAGGTGGAAACTAGGTGGCTCAGGTTTTTTCTTTTTTTTCGTTGTTTGATGTCATTTAATGGCTGGATGAGTATAATGCATTGTTTGATATGATTTAGGGATGGCGAAGAAGTAGAAGTGTGTATGTTTCCGTAGTTTTTTTGTGGTTGATGGGTGCTTGTCATATAGTTGCCATAGGGCAAGTCAAGCTACAAATCTTTGGATATTGAGACAAAAGGTGGTAGCGAATCTTGGGAGAAATGGTTCTCATTAAGTCTATCAAATTTAGTGTTACTTAATTTGCTAATCAATTATTTTACTTGCGTCCTGTTGCTTTCTTTACGATTGGGAAGTGCTTAATACTCCCGCCGTCCCTTATTTTTTTGCCCCATTGGGGTGATGTTACTTGTTTAATTTTTAGTTTGAAAAAGTTGATTAGAGGGAAATATGGTAGAGCCAAATGTAGTTGGTGTGAGAGTAAAGTAGATGTCTCATATAACCATTTATGATGTGGATCAAACTAAAAAGGAAATTGGGGCAAACATTTAGGGATAGAGGGAGTACAAAATATAGGTCTATAATTAGTGTAATATCTCAAGAAAATTTTACGCACATCCATAGGATGAATATAGCCTTAAGTTCAGATTCATACTCTCATCTTATCTTTTCGAGCAATGCAAGTTTGGTATTAATGAAGATTATGGTGTGAACCGGACTAAAAGAGAGATATTGTACTATTTGCATTTTGTGCCACATCTAACAATCTCACAATGTTCCCCTTTTTTTTTTTTTCTTCTCTCTCTCTCTTTATCCTGGCATTTTATTGCTTGTTTGTCATGCAAAATACTTGTCTTCCTTTAGATTATAGTTTCTTCACTCTTTAGCAGATTGTTTGTTTTGGATTGTTCCTGTGCTCTATATGGATTATATTATATGCTTTTTTATCCTAGCAAATGGCAATCCACTTAAAAACTATATGTTTTTTTTTTTTTTTTTGCTTAGGTTATCTAATATTCCAGCGCACGTTTCCTTTGCAAGTATATCTAATTGTTATGCTGCGAACATATACTATTGTTGTGATGTTTTTGTTGCTTGATGTCAGTGGTAAGACTTTGTTACTGCTTAAGACTCGTAATAGAAAGAACTACATAGTATATGGCATTCAATAATTTCAAGTTCATTATGAATTTGATGGTTGAATTAGCTATCATTATCAACCCGTTTGGCAAGCTCACGTAATTTGCTTTTGAGTTTTAACACCTAATCAAAGAGGGCAAGCAGTATATTTTGAATGAATAGTTATACTATGAGGATTCTTTAGTAAAGGAATTGCTTTAAAATTTGAAGGTCAGTTTTATTTCAAATCAACAAGTGTAATTTATTTGTGGAATGCACTGTTTGTTGTGAAACCAAATTGAGGACAATAAAAAAAAGTATGATGGGACTAAAAAAGCTCAAGACTATCAAGCAGTTCTATGATATGGATTACTGAAAGTCTCTTGTCAAGAAAGGAAGCATCCACTGTATCATAATGTACATAAGAAAATTGCAACTGACAAGAAGTATTAGTAGATCAGTGGAAGTCGTGAAACATTCTTGTTGAGGTCACAAAGAAGCTTATCTAATGCCATTCGGTAGCACCATCCCATGTCTTAGCAGAACCATCTAGTGCTGCCAAAGCAGTCTGTAATGTGCCCTGGGTCAGCTAGATAGTCCACAATAGAAGCCAGCTAAATGCTCTGCATAATCATAAAGTATGGACTTTGGAAGTGGTGATTAAATATATACTTGTGGTGCTCTGCAACCCGAAAGATCCTGTTCATATTCCATAGGTTACTTCTATCTGTAAGAGAACATTTTTCTTTGAGCTTTTTAGATTTTTTTTGTCTTTAAATATCGGTAGAGCCTGAATGCATTAATCCTATTTTTGACATTTTACATAAAATGATTCATGGAGTTGAGCCCCTGCCACCCAAACCTGCAAGGGCTGCTATTGAGATAAAAGTGAGTTTGCTAACCTCTCTGCTCACCTAATAATTTCATCTCTCTGTTTCTTTTGTTGCTCTTTCCTTTCTGATTTTTTGTGTTGGACCCTTCTGTCTTTCTTCTTTGAGGGTTTTTAATAAGCCATTCTTGTTTTTGAGTACGTTTAACTGCATTTTCTGAATTCTGTAGATTTTGATACTAGTCTTCTGATTTTCCAACTTTTTAATTCTTTCTTAGACAAATCTTTCAACATTTAATCTTTGTAGTTGTAACTTTGAATTCAAGTGCTTTGGAAGCTTGCTGTTCATTTCTTCTTAAGCTTTTCAGGGAGTTCATTAGTACAAGTTTCTATCCTTTAATCTTTGCTGATAATTGTTCTTGTTTTTTTATGTTTAGTTAAGTTCTTTACACCATATGGTAATGTTATTCCTGTTTATCTTTTAGTTTAAAGATTTTTTTTTTTGACAGAAATAGTTTAAGGATTTTTACCCAAATAGTTTATGTTTTTTTTTTAGCTGAGTTTACTTGTTTCCTTCTAATATGATTGAGTAGGTTCTTTGATATAGGGGTTGGGTTTGATTTAGGGGTTGTGTGACCCTTAGAAATTCATGATTTAGCCATTCTCACCCTTGTTGCATAATGCTTGGCTATATGATTTGGTATATTGGAGTTGTGCTATCTTTACCTTATTTATTTATTTTTATATTTTGCTTTTGCTTTGATGGTCAAACTAACTACTCCTAGAATTGGAGAGCCTCGAAAAAGGTATCCATGGCAGTAGTTAGATTGGTTAACCTTGTTTATGTGGGGTAAGGGATAATTATTCCTAAAATTAGGAGACTACCTAGCTAGTAACATCCTATCTTGTTGAGGTTAATTCTCTATCAAGCGTTGCAAATGAGGGCTAGAGTTTGGACACCTCCTTATAAGTCCTCGTCGACGATTGAATTTTCCAAGCAAAGATTTAGGCTTAGTGACCATAGAAATTTAAGATCGTTTGATCTCGTGGAACTATGACCCTACTTACAATAACTTGTTCAGTATTCATGTTTAGGATGAACTCGAGTAACTATGATCTTACTTACCATAACACATTCAGGTTTAAGATGAGCTAGATAATACTTAGACTAGGCTCATGACTGTTTGATTAGATACCACTCTTTCACCTCTTATTTAATATGAGGGAAGTTTTTTTTGAATACCTAATTGCCTAACGTAAAAAAAATCATAAATAAAATATTCCAAATAGTAGAACACTTTTTACTTTTTAGTAATTTAGTCATTATACATCTCACCTCTTTTAGTAAGTAATCATATTTATATCTAAGTTAATTTTATATATATATATATATATATATATATATATATATATATATATTATCGATGTTGTGGTTCACAATTTACATATCATAATTAATGCCCCAATTTGATTGACACATCTTTGACTAATAATATCTTTTAGATCAATAGGTATAAATGATTTAAAAAATATTTATTAAGAAAATTTACATTGAGTCGATTCTAACAACTACACACTTAACTATGTTTAATAAGATGTATAAGGTCTAAACATTGGTCAAAGTGGTGTATGTGAATAGTGCAAAAGTCAGACTAGGACATTTATTTAGAAACGCAGGGAGTATTAGCTTACAAAAATGATCTCATTCATAACTGCTCCATATATTAGAATCATAATAAATCTTCTTTATAAGCTGAAAGTAGCAAACAAACTAATACCGTCAAATATTCAATTTTCAGTAATATTTTAAAGTATTTTTTTCCATACAAGATAAGCCAATCAGAATGTGACACATATTAAGCTTACGTCGACTTGCTTGCTTACATCGTAGTATAAAGATAGATAGATTGTGAGCTCTAATGTCAGCCCTCAAATTTATGAAGTGTTACTATTGGCCACCAGTCCACACCCACCATTTCCAGTGTTAGGAAGTAAAGATTAAAGGGGGCATACACAGAATTTCCAACTTCATTCAAATATGAATGAAAATCAAATCTTTAAGGAAAGGGTGAAGGCTCCCATAACCCTAACCATTCCAGATGACGTAATTTTTGTGCAAATTCTACCCAGGCTTCCGGTTAAATCCCTAATTCGATTCAAATCTGTTTGCAAGAATTGGTATTATCTTATTTCTACTCCCAAATTTGCTAAAGCTCACCTTGATTTATCATTTTCTGCTCCTCAATTTCTGATAACTGATGGTATGCTAGGTTTTGGGATTAATTTTTACTCGTTAGCTTACGATGAATCCAACAATTTGAAAGAATTAGTTCATTTAGATACTCAAGTAAACCATCTTATGCCACATCTAGTGTTTGTTGTTGGTTGTTGTAATGGCTTGGTATGTTTGTGATGTCAAAGCGATTGTGGATTTTTTTTCTCTTTGTGGAACCCTGCGACTCATCAATATCACAATATTTTGTCCCCTATTGTTGGTTTCATGAGTAAAGGTGGTTTCGGATATGTATCCGCCATCGATGATTATATGATAGTTGTTGTATACCACACTTGTGCTATAGTATCAACAAACATCCATCTTTGGGTGTTCTCGCTGAAAGCTGGAGTGTGGAAATACTCTGTTTTATCAAGTGATAATGGATGTGAACCCTTTGAGCCCTTTAAAATGGACAGGGTTTTAATTAATGATACCCTGTACTGGACAGTTGGAAAACGGGGAAATGCTGGACGCACAAAGAGTATTATCTGTTGTAATTTTGTTGACGAACAAATAACAGAAATACCGTTGATGATTCCGGGAAGTGGTGATCTTGTTATTATGTCTTCTGTGATTAATGGGTGCTTAGCACTATATCGCTATAAGATTGATCAGCCTCGCGAGGTTTGGATATTGAAGCAAAAGAGTGATGGTAACTTCCTTGAGAAATTGTTCTCAGTCCCTTGCAGTAGTGTACTATACCCCTTGTGGATGAATTTCTCCCCAAGTGGCAAGTGTTTGGTTAAACATGCACAACAGCTCAAGTTGGTTGACCCGGCTGTAGAAGATATTGAACCTTTCCATGTATCGATTTTGATCGGTCCGTGTTTGCAGTACACCAGCATGTTGAAAGTCTCATCTCACCCTTTGGGACTGCACACAACTCTTAATGATGAAGACAATGATGCTAACATCACAACTTAAAATAATCAAAGTGAGTGCATTATTTTGTAGGTATTTTATTTCTACATGTCCTGTGTAAATCTCAGCAAGAGGTTGTCTTTTTATTTTTTTATTTTTTATAATTTTTTTTTATTATTGACTGTGTAGTATTACTGATATGGTTGCTTCCAAATAGCTGTCAAGTTTTGGTCATGCTTTACTACTATTGTATGCTTGCTTTCTGATGTTATCTGCTCCATTATTCCTAAATATTGACAGAGTTTGTATCTTGTGGAAGCATATTAGTAGTAAATTGCTTTATCTATCATAATTAATGGTGAAAGAGATGATGTTAAAAACACAACACATGTGAACCATAGCCAGTTTATTATACATAGCATCATATATTTTGTGTAGCAAGAGGTAGAAATCTTGCTAAATGACTACTTTTTGCACGCTTGCTTTTGAGCAACTAGTACTGAGGTATGAAGTGTTTTTTTGCTGTGTCAATCTTGAAATTATATGTTTACTTCCTGATCCATAAATTTAAATTATTGACTCTTGTCTGTTTTGGAAGCATGTGAACAGCTTGCCAAATTGTAAGATATTGAAATTCCTGAACTTACTCTGCAACTTGACAATTCTGAGAGGCGGTGAGTAAGATCAATGGTGGCGGCTGATTATCACCTGTATGCTGTAGCTTCTCTCTCCGTGCTTGGCCATGTCTGGGCCCTGAACTTCCGATGCCAGATGGTGGTACTGGGGTTAAAGATGGTGAACCTTGAACCGTTTTTTTTTTTGACGCAGAAACTTTGAACTTTAGTTTGGCGAAGTTTGTTTTCATTCCCTTGTTGAACCAAATATAAAACTTACAGAATTCAAAGCTCAATTCTCATTACTTCCCTTTCTTCTTTGTTGATTAATTTCTGTGTCTGTCTCTCTCTCTCTCTCTTTTTTCATTGTTATTGTTATTGTTATGGTTATTGTTGTTGGTTACTGTTGTTGGTTATTGTTATTGTTGATTTGTTATTGATAGCAATAACAATAACAATAACAATAACAATACTACTTATACAGTCTTTGACTGAATTTAGAATATATGAAGCACGATATTAAGTGGCTTAGTTTTTTGAGTTTTCTTCAATGGAATGCTAGATTATTGAAATAAAAGTATGTGATTTAGCAATGTTATATGTTGTATATACATGATTTATGATATGATTTATTTTGCATAGAAATTTCATTCTCTGGCAATAGATGGGGTGCCAATTTTTGGGTTTAATAACAGGACAAAGAATGCTAGTTTTGTTGTTTGATGATTTGTTGTTTGATGTTTCTGCAGTTCAATGCTCTTGATTTATGTTGTATTGAAGTTATAGAAATTAATTTGGGTTAGAAAGAGAGAAAATTTAGGTTACCAATTCATACTGAAAATATTGAAACGAGCTCGATATTTCTAGCTTAATTGTATAACAAGCATAGAATGAAAGTATCTATGTCATTTAGGATAATAATGATCATTTGAGTTGTAATTATCAACTTTGAAATTGCTTGATTTGCTTTGGACCATGATGTTGCTGATAACCTGGTGGTACTAGCTTGAAATATTCTTTGGTCATGTGAGCTTCGTCTTTAATTTATTCAATGACTATGATAATTGATTGCATTAGCAACTTCCGATTCAAGATGGTAAATAAACAATAACTGGTGGCCGATGCTTATAGGTACAAATGATTGAATATTTACATAGAATATATATTTTCGTTGTATATACTATGTAGTCCATTAAATTTTGTTATAAGCACAAGCATATACATTGAATGAGAAGGTGTTGAGCTTGACTATTTGGATGCTTAAAGTACATTTGCATTTTTGTCAATTTTAATTTCCTTGCTATGTTTCCTTAGTGTAGGTCATGTTTCTGGATTTACTTCTTCTACACATCTCCCCTTCTCCTCGCGCTTCCTTCCTATCTTAACCTGCTGCCTTGCAAGGATGTTGCTGCTACAGCTGCTGCTGCAGCTTTTGCCTTGCCAATTTGTTCTTATTCTTGTTTGTCAATTTGCCTTGTGTATAATTGCCTGCATCTATTCTAATGGTTAAAACTTTTGTTGTTGAATTTACATGGCTGCTGCCTGCTGGCATAATCCAAAGTGGATGTCGTCTAGTGTCAAGGAAGTTGGCATGCAAAAAGTTAAAGACTGTTTTTGAGCCATTTGATCATAAATTTCAGAATTGTGGCTTAAGAGGTCTAAGGAGATTTCTCTTTCACCTAAAATTTGACATCTTTTCTCTGTAAATAAATAAATATTACTCTGTGTCTCTGTGAATAAACTATGTAACCTTGTTTTTTTTTTTGGATGAATTTTTAGGTATTACAACCATCTAAAGTTTATATATTACGTATATGTTAGTGTTTGTATATCAATTAAAGTGAAAATAAATAAATAAAATAAATAAAGCTTTTTAGGCATTATGGGCAGCGGTTCAATGCCTAAACAACTGCTCATAACATATATAAAAGGTATTATAATTTGTTATGGGCAGCAGTTTAGGCATTGAACCACTGTCCAATTAAAGGGGCGGAAAGTATGAGATTTTACTACACCTGGAAGTAAAATTCTAATTCTCCAGGATTTTTTCCCAAATTGAGCTTTATTGGGAAATTATTTACGAAATTGGTCTCGTGGCAAAAGTATTTCCCAAACTAAGCTTCTGGGGTGAAACGCTGTCTCGGACAGCGTTTTACACCCAGTTTTTTTTTTTTTTTAAAAAAATCAAGAAATAAAACGCTGCCTGAGGCAACGTTTTATGGTAGTTTGACTTTTTTCTCAAACTTCGTATTTCATACTTTTTTTATACAAATAAACGCTGCCTGAGGTCGAGCGGGTGCGAGATATGGGCATACATAGCTTGCAGAGATATGGCCATGGCCATCTCGTCCACCCCAGGGACGATCATGACCCCAACTCCTTCCATTCACAGTTCGACTTCGGACAGAGCAGTGGCGCATGTGATTACCATTCACAGTTCGACTTCGGACAGAGCAGTGGTGGAGGTCATACTTCGGGCTCTACACAGGCAGAGGATTACTTCATCCATAACACCGCTCCCGGCCACACCCAGGATGACTCATCGCCTCGCCAGCTGACTCCTCCACCGTCCCGAGACTCATTCACCACCATTCAGCATTACACAAGGCGTCCGAGGCGTGTTCGTAGACGGACGGAGGACACACAGGATGGAGATCAATTAACTCCAATACATGAGTCCGGATAGTATTAGTTAGTTGATCTTCTTGTGGTACTGAGATATTTAACAATGTTGTATATAACGCTTACATTATTAATACAAGAAATGGTTTTTAAATGACTCTCTGTACAATTTGAAGTTTATTTCCCTTATTTGTCCGAATTTGACTTTTGTCAGTAAAACTATATCTTTTTTCGCCGTGGAAATGTTGGGGCTGGTGGTGGGAATGCTCTAGCATTGTTTAGGGTGTTTTGCATTGCATTGGGGTGGTCGAGAGTGGCGGCCGGTGGTGGTGGGGGAGGTGGTTCATGGTGGTGGGGTGGTGGGAATGCTCTAGCATTGTTTAGGGTGTTTTGCATTGCATAGGGGTGGTCGAGAGTGGCGGCCGGTGGTGGTGGGGGAGGTGGTTCATGGTGGTGGGGGTGGTGGGAATGCTCTAGCATTGTTTAGGGGTGTGTTGCATTGCATAGGGGTGGTCGAGAGTGGCGGCCGGTGGTGGTGGGGGAGGTGGTTGATGGTGGTGGGGGTGATGGTTGAAGGTGGGGCTGAGGCTGATGCTGCTAGATGAGGGTGATGTGTAGGGGCAGCAGCAGCTGGACAGGATCAGCAGCAGATTGCAAAAACAGGAGCTGGCTGCTGGTGATGCAGTCTAGCAGAAAAACGCTGCCTCAGGCAGCGTTTTATGCTTTAACGTAAAACGCTGTCTCAGACAGCGCTTTATGCTTTCACATAAAACGCTGTCTCAGGCAGCGTTTTACTTAAAGCATAAACGCTGCCTGAGGTAGCGTTTTACAACCCACATACATAAAATACGGTATTTTTTCCAATATAAATACCAACAAGTCAAACTACCATAAAACGCTGCCTCAGACAGCGTTTTATGTCTTGATTAAACGCTGTCCGAGACAACATTTCACCCCAGAAGCTTAGTTTGGGAAATACTTTTGCCACGAGACCAGATTGGTTAATACTTTGCTAATAAAGCTCACTTTGGGAAAAAATCCAATTCTCCAAAGGTGCCCCGGTTGATCTATTAGATCAACCAAATTTGTCAATCAAATGGCGTTTTGGACTTTTGGTAATATATATGGAACAGTAAAAATATATCAGCTCAATTGAACATGATGAGTCCGAAGTCATCACTTCAAATAAGGTAGACGACATTTGATGTATTTTTTTGACGGTAACGGCAATTTGTAGCTGGGTTGATATTTATTACTAGGTGGTTGGTAGTTTCTTAATTGTTTTACCAGATTTGAAATTACTCCTTCGTAGAACAATTTTTCTTGTAGAATGAAATTTGACCATAATGCCTTATGCTAATTGAATATCTCCACGGATCTGATTGAACAGTATGCATGAAGCTAAGGTTGTTTTATTTTGAGGTGCCAAAATCGACCTCAATGATCTGAAAAAATATTTTGTTTTGAATTATAGTCAATCTAATTTGACCTGAGAACTTTAGGACTCAAACAAGATATGTAACCACCCTGAACTTAATTCAAATCCGAATTTGACCCTGTCTGAACTGAACTCGACATCAATTACACCCAACTTGAACTTAACCCGAAATCAATTTGACTCAACTTAAATTCAAATGAAACTGGTTTGACCCGACTTAAACTCAACCTAACCCGAAATTGACTCGACAAAAACCCAATTTAATCTGATCAGTTTTGAACTGAATTGGTATGAACCCTGCTTGATTTTAACTCGATCTAATTTTGAACCAAACATAATTTTAAACCCAAACCGAATATTGACCTTCCCTTTTTTTTTTTTTTTATTTCTCTTAAACATAATTAAGTCGATTCATATAATTGTTTGTTTTATTAATCGTGAAGGACTTTCTTTTGTAAGGGTGAGTCGTGAGCCTACCATTTTTTTTTAATTGTAACGAAGTAGTGAAACAAAATATGTATTTCTTTAATTTGAAAGTAGATCGAGCATAAAAACCAACAGTAGCTCGTACTATAACTACAATAATGAAAGTGACAAGTCATGCGCAAGTTAGAGTTTAAGTATGATGTAAAGTATTTACCATGATGACTAGATACACACAATTATGTTATTCAAGAAATAAATAATTGTATATGCCTAAAATATTCCCATTTATGAAATTTTTTTTGTTCCGCAATTTTCTTATATAAACCCAACCTCCATTCCATTCCTTTTCATTCCACACAATTCAACATAACACTGTCTTGTTCTCTCATTATCTTTTTTCTATACTCAAATTTATAGTAACTATTAGCAAGTTTGAGAACTTAAATTGCAATAAACTTTAAGTGTAGGTATAATTGCATTATTAAAGGAGCCAATAAAACTTTAATTTCTAAGGTTAGTAATTATTTACACTACAAGCTTTATTTTCTTAGTGGCATAACCTCACATTTTTGTGGGATGGAGAAATGAACAAAAACAAAACAAAGTATACTTAAAAAAACAAAACAAAACAAAGTACAAATGCTCTTTCTAAGGTTAGTACTTAATGTGCATGTCTACTTCGCTAAATCAAATTACACTTTCAAAACATGCAAGTAGATGCAATTACCTTTCTTCCTATTATTCATAGGCTGTATATTGAAATTCATAATGTTTGAACGTATTAATTTATTTGGACAAAATCAAGGATTTGCACTCCTAAGACAAAATGATACATTTGCTTGGA